AGTGCCCTGCGTCTGCTGTAGTTTTTGGGTCAACCCCCCCACCACACCCCCCCCATGTGTGATCCCGTGGGGGACTAATACACCTCTGCCAACCAGCCTTCCAGCCTGCTGCCCTTCTGCAGCTGGAGGCGGCAGAGAGCAGCACGCAAACAACGTTACCCTGGGGATTTCTGCGTGCAGCCAGACGCAGTCCTCTCCTGTCCTTTACACGCGTAGCTTCATGTTTCGCCACAGCTACAGGAATGCTCGTGCCAATGTGTGATCCCGTGGGGGACTAATACACCTCTGCCAACCAGCCTTCCAGCCTGCTGCCCTTCTGCAGCTGGAGGCGGCAGAGAGCAGCACGCAAACAACGTTACCCTGGGGATTTCTGCGTGCAGCCAGACGCAGTCCTCTCCTGTCCTTTACACGCGTAGCTTCATGTTTCGCCACAGCTACAGGAATGCTCGTGCCAAAACCTTTTACCCACCTGGAATGGCTTGCCGTTCCCTAGTGCGCGCTGCCCTCGGGGCTGCCTTTGCTTTCCCTCTTTCTCTGTTTGTTGGCCCAAGCTGCAGATGGGGTAGGTCAGCAAGCAGGAGCATTCTTGGTCCTCATTTTCTCCCTGCTTGTTTTCACAGTGAATGGGCTGCAGGCTCGGACCTTTGGCATCTGGACCCTGCTGTCATCAGTGATTCGCTGTCTCTGTGCTATTGACATCCGCAATAAGACGTACGTAAAAGAGCATGAGAGTAATCCTTCATTTTGCCTGCTAGCCACAATCTGAACAGTTACCTTAGAGGGCAGCTCAGATGAGGTGTGGAATCAAAAGCTGTTCTTGAACTTTCTTTAGGGTTGAAAGTATTCCTCTGAAGAATGCAATCAGCAGTGGAAGACTTGTGTATTAACTGCTGCTCCCTTGAGGGAGGGCCTGCTCATCTGAGTTCTGTTTCTTAGCTCAGGCAGAAATGGATAGATCTGAGAACTTTTCTGTGTCACAAATTTCTGAGCTCCAATTTGGGAAGCATCTCCTGGTGGGATTACTGCTATGTTGACATGAAGCATTTGGCAATGCTGTGATCCCACTGATACTTGGTACCTCTTTGCCTATGATGGCTCAGTTAAAGACTATGCAGCAGGTTGAGAGGCCCCTTGCAGTGGATGTTAAGAGCATGTGCAAGAAGGTAGTGGGTTGTCTGGGGAGGAGGGCAGTGTATCTCTGGCCTGAGGTGCCCCCTGTGCCTTTGCCAGATACGTTGGGAGGCAGGCTGTTTCTCTTTGTGATAACAGTAGTATTCCTGAAAGGGATTTCCAAGCAGTGTGACTCTATTTGGGTCTGCAGTAGACAAAGCCTGTGCTAGGTTGCTAGAACCTGCTGTTAAATGCCTCCAGCAGTTTTCTGTGGCTAAAATCCCATCTGTTGGGAAGCCATAGTGGCTTGATAAGCATTATCCTTCTCTCCCTGCCCTCACAGGCTCGTATCCAGAAGTCCTCAGGAGAGAGTCCCCTATGCAGCAAAAGTTATTATGCCCCTGGCAGCATGTTCTTGGATTGACTAGGTTTGTCTGTGGTAAGGAGGTACAGGGACTGAAGTTACTTGGTGTGTCTGTGGCTCAGGGGATGGAGGCACTGCCAGTTACCATAAAGCCTATTCTTCCCTAAAGGGTTTTTCTGTCTTGAACCTGCTCTCTTTTTACAGTTCTGGCCCCTAGAGGGTAGCAGAGCACAGGTGGGAAGATCTCTGGGCTGCTGCAGCCTGGAGACAGCCAAGTCCTGCCCCGTTATAGGGCATTATTCCTCAGCCCCTCCAGTGCTTGCCCTCCTCTGTGTGCACATGCTTCTCACTTCACATGTGCCCTACCCTTGCTTTGCCCTTTTTATTTACTTTCAAACCGGATAATGGCTGTGACTTTCAATGCACCACTGAACATGCAGCCCCCATTCTGCTCCCATCAGAACTTTTGGACCTCACTGGGCTGGAAAACAAGTTCCCTCAGAGCAGCTTCCTGCTTTGATAGGTATGTCTGCATAATTGCAGGGAGCTGAATGTCACCCTGGGCACCTGTGTAAGGGAATGTTTGGAAAGCAGTAAGGAGTTCCCTCCCTTTTTAAAGCCCCTTGGCGCTTAAGTGTATGAAACCCTTCTGGCCTAGTGCTGTGCCTCAGCTGCATTGGTCTCCCCACCCTTACTGACCTGTGGCATGTCTTATCTACCTCATGTCTTCAGGACTCTGGTATCCACTTAGATTTCCTGAAGAAGTACCCATCTCCTTTGAGGAATTGCTAGTAAAATGCCATGGTTTTTTTTTTTTTTTGGGGGGGGGGGTGGTGATCTGCATCATGCATAGAGGTACATCACAGCCACCCCTAAAAACTCATGCTGGACTCGGGAAATCATGCTGGACTTTTCTGGGAATGCAAAGTGAGTAGCAGCTTCATTAGGTGGACTTTTCTGACTGCCCTCTGTGCTGCCATAGTGAGGACAGACAGGGCAGAAGTCAGGTTCACCTCTTTTCCACTCTGTCAGGCTTGTGCCCACACTGTGGGCTATATAACATGTTTGTTTCTGTTCCCCAACAGCCTCTATTACATCACACTCTTCACCTTCTTTATGGCCCTTGTTCACTTCCTCTCCGAAGTCTTCATTTACCACACTGCAGCCTTGACAATTGGAGTCATGGCACCCCTCATGGTAGCAAGTAAGTAGAGCTCTGTATTCCCCCTAAAAAAACTTGCCATGGAGTCATGAGCTAAGAGCTCAGGAAATGATGGTAGGAGGGGAGATGTGGGAATGTCTCATATCCTTTCCAGCATTTTTTACACAACTCATTCTGCGTCTCTGTCACAGGTTTCTCTATCCTGGGGATGTTGATTGGGCTGCAGTACCTAGAGGTAGAAGCACTGTCACAAAACAAGAAGAAAAACTGAAGCTCAATGCCTTGTGTAGGTCAGTGCTGTCTCCTGTCTTCACTGCCAAACTCCTACCAAAGCTCAGCTGTGGCTTCACCAGGGCTCCTGTCCAACAGTGATCTGCCAGTAGGACTCTGTCAATCATTCATTACCATGTGTTTTTTCTTTTCCAGACAACATTTGAACTGACCGATGTCAGATGTCAAGTCCTAAAGAAGTTTGTCAGAGCTTGCTGGGGCATTTGGTGAGACTGTCTTCCCTGAGGATGGTAGGGAATGTCTCAAGCATTTCTCTTGCAGTAAGGACTTTTCTCCTGGTGCACTATGGGGAGGAGATATAGAGTGACCCAAGATCCACTGAACGTTTCTGCCAGGAAAGAGAGCGTGTGCTGCCCCTGGCACTGCTGCATAACTTGCATGTTTATGTTTCTCAGGGGCCATTTCTAATAAATGACAGAAAACTACAGGGCACCATGTCTGTCTTCTTGCTACATGGCAGTAGGGAGACAATACACAACCTGGGGGCAGTTTCTGCTTCATGTTGAAGCAAATCAATCATCTCTCCTTACAGCAAACCCACCTTTCCCTGACTCCCTCTCACAAAGCTCCAGGTCTAACTGCTCACATCACACAAGCAAGTGAAAAGAGTTTTTGTAGATGCCACTTCCCCAGCTTATTAGTGACAGCAAACTGCATGCATCTGTGAGCAAGGACTGAGCTACCGTTGCAGTTGCCTGTGACTACAGACGAGTAAAAACAGGAAAAGGCTGCAACAATCTAGATGAAGTAATATTCAAAGCATATGACAGTGCACAGAAGGCAGGAAGACACCAGCAGGATCAGCTGGCTGGGAAGCCTGTGCACATGAGGAAGAAAGCAGAGAGGGAGGGGGAAGAAAAAAAGAACAGAAGGGAGAAAAAGAGCACAACAGTAGCATTAGGCAAAAAATCATTTTTCCATTCTGTAAAATATGTCAGGATTAAAAAAAAAAAAACAAACAAATGCAGCCAGTTTAAACCATTTAATATGAAAAAGTGTCATGTTTCACTCACACACTTAAAATGTTTTGCTTTTATATAAAAATCTTTATTTAAAAAACATCCCCCCACCTCAGTCTTCCATCCCACCTATCAAAGATGGGACTTTTAATTTTTTTAAGTGTCAAAAGTATAATTTCACAAGAAAGACATACCATTTTTTTGACAAAACCTAAGAACTATTTTCATCTACTTCAACATGTATTTTTTTCAAAATTACTTGTGCACAATTCTTGCATTACGTAAGGAATATAAGGACACTTGATGTCTCCACTGGGGCAGTGACTATCTGTCTGACACTGAAAAGGACGGAAAGGGATATAAGGATCTACACCTGTGATCAGGAGATAACAGCATACAGAGGGGAAGTGTGCAAGACACAGATGCTGGTAAGAGGGCTATGTTTCCTGTTGCCTATTATAAAGTGGGAAGCGTCCACACTGGAGCTGGTTTGTTCCCACCTGACTCAAACACCTCATTGTGGTAGTGCAAAGCAATGCAATCCTGGCCGCCCCCCCCCCCAATAGGACTGCACAAAAGCTTTTGTAAAGCTTTTGTGAAGCTTTTGTAGTACTAAAACATGCAAAAGGCACTTTATCCTCAGCGCAGGATGCTTGTGGTTTGACTCCTGTTGCTAGTGTGGTGTGCTGGGCTGGGTAGAAGCTGTAGATAAGCCCCGAGCTAGACCTTGCCTCTAGGCAGAATGAGAGCTAGAGTCTGCCCTTGGATGCATACGGGTGTTTTTCAGTTAGTCCTAACATATATAGGAACATCAGGGCAACCTAAATGAATTCTAAATGGCGGTTTATCCACAAAGTGTTGCATAGGGGATGGCCACACACAAAAACTGGAGCTGGCAGCAGATGCACTGCTTTGCCACTGGCTGGAGATGTGTTGAGGCCTCTATCATCACCTCTGCAACATGGAGAGCATCACAGGCACTGAAGCAGAACGATCCCTCTTCAGAGGCAGGTCACAACTCTCCCAGGGTTGCTCACAGAGTAAGCATGGTCCAGCTTCTACATTTAATATCACACCTTCTCTATGAGAGGAGAGACAGGCCAGGTGCAGGGTGCCATCAGCTCAGGGCTAATCTGCAAATGCAGCCTGACTTTTCTGAGGATGTATGCTTTTTCCAAGCATACATGAATTGGCGAGGGGGAAAAGGGAGCGCAGTGGCTTTCCCCAAGTTTTGCTTCAAGCAGTAAGGTCTCCAAAACAGCAAGATGCAGAGATGTAACTGAAGAGAGCAACTCCCTTCTTGTTTTGCTTTTTCCACACCTCGCAAAGAGTTCGCTGGGCTCCTGCCCTGAGGCTGCCCCCTGCCATACTGCATGCTTGACAGGAGAATGGCGTAGATAGCAAAGGTGGGAATGGGGAGGAGAGTGCATTTCCCAGCTCTGCCACCCCTCCCTGTCACAGCTTCGATTCTTCAAGGCCTATGGGATCAGTGCAGGCTTCAGGCGTCACTTTCTGCAAGTCAGACAAAGAAAAGTAATGTGGTTAAGGCCCTGGATGGCCAGACCTGGGCTTCAGAGAGACCAGCTGGCCAGAGGCTGGCTCATTCACAGCTTCCTCCTAGGGTGCAGAAATCCCCAAAGAAGTCATCACTCTCAGAGAGCTCAAGCCAAGAGTGCACCTGACCCCCTCTTCCCTCTCTGGACCATTCTGGTTAGACGAGGAGCTCTGGGACAGCAGGCACAGCAAGGCTCCCATTGGCTCCCACTTCCCATAGGCTACTTGTAGGAAGCTTCCGCACTGGAGCAAATTTTCGTTCCCACCTGACTCAAACACATCACTGTGGTAGTGCAAAGCAATGCAATCCTGGCTGGCTGTCCCAATATAGGACTTCACAAAAGCATTTATGTAGTGTTAAAACATGCAAAAGGCCTTAGTTAATACACAGAAGCATGGGAACTGTACAGTTTCAAAGAAAACTAAGAAAGCCCAGTTTGAACAAAAAGAGAGTCCTGCCATCTTGGAATTCTGCATATGCAAGCTCTACAGGATATTTTTTGTTTGTTAGAAAACCCACAGAAGCTTAAGTAATATTTTTCTGGAAATATTTTTCGGATTTTTCTTGAAAGTTCACTCCGAAGTCAAAGCAAAGCATGGAAAAACTTCATCAGTAAAGACGCTTATTTCAAAATGCAAACAAACAATGAAGGAAGGTTTGCCTGGATGCTGGAAAACAGGTTGTACACAGCATATACAAGCATATAACATGAATCAACTGACACCACTATGAAACCTTAAGGCAGAGTGCTGAATGGTTTCAGATGCACTTACAACAAAGGCAACCCAGAAAGACTTAGTATGATGTAAAAAGGGCATTTGATCCAAGTGTTCTGAGGTATAGAAAGCTAACCTGGCTGATGATCTGTGAACTGATTGTTGGAACCATTACAGCTTCATTAGAGGACAAGGTGTTCACAGTGCCATTAGGCTAACTTAGCTCCCACTACAGGTTTAACTGCAACATCTGTTTAATTATAACTTTAAGCAGAGAAGGGTACTGATAGGAGACAAACTGCCTGTGGACACAAGGCAGGTCCTGCAGGAAAAATGAAAAACATCCTGCAGTACGAACACAGTCACCAGGAGCTCTGACAGGTGGCTGCTTAGAGGCTGCCATTGCTGGAGAGAGTCAAGGCTGGTAAATGCTGACTTTTCTCACTGAGGTTACAGTTACAGTACATTCCTCTTCTCCCTAGAGAGCCATCAGCTCAGCCTGATCCTCGTCTTTCCATTTCATCACCAGAAGCCACTGTTAGGTGAAAATGGAAGAATTTCACCTGTGAGAGTCAGCAAGTGTGTTCTTCCCCCTGTGTGTTCCTTAACAGACTGGGAAATCAGGCTGTTCCACAGTTTCACTCTGCCCCAAAGCCATTCAATAGCTGAACAGAGTTAAAGATCTTGAGAGTTTTCTACCAGGTTACTTCCATTTCCAGACCAGAAGGAAGCATACCTTGCTAAGCCAATACTCTGGATGATGGGCCCCCAGAGAAAACAATAAGCCAGCTGCCTAACTCTGCCATGGGACTGTATCTCCATTGGGTCCCATTCAACCTCATCAACAGAGCTATGCAGTCAAAGGTACAGCATTTCAGC